TAATTATTTATAATTTTTCTTAAATTTCTTGCATTTTTTGTCACTTGAACATTTTTTTGATGTTGAAATTTTTTTAATTTTACATAATTTTCAAAATTTCCATTGCTTTTTGTTGTATATCATATCTTGTTGTTGTTTTTTTCTTTCTCGCAATTCAAACACCAGTTCACCAATTACATTTTCTCAGTTAAATTTGCACATTTCCGTTTATGAAATCTATTTATTATTATTTTTTTTTTTGCATAAATTTCTTGTTTTTATTTGCTAATTTGTTGTATTTGCTTTTTGTTGTTGTAAATTTTCCAACCTTTCCAAGCAACTATTCTAACCAAACTAAGTTGCTTATTGCCAACACTTTTCTTTCAACACTCAGCAATTTGTCTTCTTATTCTTTTGCTGCTTCTTCTTATTCTTATTCTTCTTGTTATTGCTTTTCCACAACAAAACCGCATAGCCAGTATTCTAACACAGTCTCCATCATATACTTTGTACTGCCACTGGCTGATTGTAACTCTAACTCTAAACGGCAATTGGCTTGATCTGGTTGGTTGGTTAGCACATCGGCTAAGTGTTAGACGCGCATCCAGAAAATGCTAACGAAACCGTGTCTCGATCGTATTGTTGCTTGCGGAAAACTGAATCACGGATGAGTCGCAGCGCCACATCAATGTCATGGGCACACTTGTGAACGTACTAAGCGCACGCACACACACGCACACCAAAACACCACAAGCTGCATTAAAAACCGCTCAGAATAAAAGACACACATATACACATGAACGCGCATATACATGGAGATAGTATGGCAAAGCTGAGCTCGAGTTCGAGTAGAAATTCTGAGCGCTCACCAGTTTGCCAGTCAGTGCTAGTCGGTGGCACCTGAAAGCCGATATCAGTAGATAGTTAGACTTTTACGCGCGACGAACGCGCTCAGCGATCGACAGCGCTTCCCGCTTATAAGGCATACACGCACACTTATGCACATACACCTACAATTGGCCGCAAAGAAAATTCTGATAAATTCATAAGCAATACTTGCGGCCATGACAGTGACAGTGGCCAGAGATACAGAGACACATTTGCTTGTGTGAGTGTGCGTATGTTTGTAAACAGCTTCATTCGCTCGAACACGCTCGTTTTATGGCATTCTAAGTGCTCGTAACTCAACGAAAGCGGCAGCCGCAACCGTAATTCATCATCCATCACAAGCAGCCACTACCTGTGTGCGTGCGTTTGTATTGGCGCTCAGCACTTGAGTCGCCTGTGCCTATATGTAAGCCACTTGGCTCTTTCTCCGATTCGAGGAAGATTTGCGGATCTCTTTTAATTGCTTTTTAGTTGCACATTCGCTGTCAAATGCCTGTAGACGAGACGAAAGAGAAATTCTACGAAGAACATGCGCGCTCATAACGCTCTTTTTTGCATCATATACATACAGGTGGCTTAGAATCTACCACAGAAACAAAACAAACAACAAAAATGCTTGCTAACACGCTTA